ACTATTTGCAAATAGTCAATAATATTGTAGGTCCATTTTATTATTGTTCTTTCTACATACTGTTATAACACATTTTCATCTCATCATTTAATTTCTGTTGTGCATATATTGTTGTATAGACAATATTTTAAAGTGATTCATCAGGTGGAAAATGAACAGATAGACCGATATGTGGCGCCATCTAGTGTATCTAAATTCATTTAGAGATTTTCATAAAACTGCCCCGAAAAATGGGGCTAACTCGGTAACCCTTGGCCCAATTTTAACGAAACTTGTTTTATTCTGTTTCTATTCTCATTTCATTACAAATATGGGACTATTTTGTGCCATCTTTGCTGTATTTAATTACAGACAAGCAAGTAAACAAATCTCAGAGTTTTAGTAGTATTTAGATGATGCACCTCTTCTGATGGGTTTCCAAATAGTTCTATCATGGGGTCACGATGGTGCAATACCATACTGTTATGCTTGACCCCTGTTCTCAACAAATGTGGCAGTTAACAGATTATAATAGTTTCACATAAAAAAACATCACATATCTCCTGTCTACATCTCTGAATAAATCTCATGGCTGAGGCCCTCTGATTGTGAATACTTGCTTTTCCTATCCATGAATAATGTGGACCCCTCTCTGTAGTGTGGATATTCTAGTTGCATGTTTGGTAAGGAAACATCACTGTTTTTGAAGTTTACAGTCTTAGTATTAAAATGAATTTTAAATAATGGACTCACACCCATCCTGTGTAGTTATCTCTAAAAAAGTGTGGCTTTAATTTGCAGCTGATAAACTCTAACCATACATTTAAATCCAGGTGGAAGGAGTCTGCCATGAATTATAATGAATGAAGTCAAAACTAAAATAAAGGTTTTAATACTATAACTAAATAACCTTATAACACCAAAATGTTATTTTTCTTTAATTGGACACTTAGTGTTTCACTTTACAGCTTCTTCAGGAGTGTTTCAATAAAATGCAAACTGTAACTAACAGTACAAAGCTTCAAATGGTTTAAATAATAAATTCTAATTAAATCTATAGTGTACATTTCTACAGTGTGCGTTTGATGTATTAAATAGTAAAGCTTATTGTTGAAAGAAAAGTATTGTTGAAATAATTAATAACTACCTGTATTTACAGATTAAAATAACAAAAAGATAGGATGAAAAATAAAATAAAATAATGAAAACTATAAGTGCCATCCACTGTCCCTATTCATCTGTGGTCGTAGTTGTTCGATGAGAAGAGCTTCTTTGAATTTTCTGTCAGTGTATTTGGTGAGGATTTGTACGGAAAATGGTGGTTTCAAGTTAAATGTTACTTGTCCATGATTAGTTCAAATTTATCTGCAACTGCACTTCTTTCATGTTGTTTATAAAGAGAGTCAATATGTTCTACTATCCTTGTGTGTAGGGTTATTCCAGTTTTCCGTGTGTATGTATGATGGCAGATGTTATATGTAAGCTGGTAAACAACATTGGAGACAAGACACCCATCTTTAGATTGTAAACACATTTTTCCAAGACAGTAGGCTTTATTACATTGTAGGTTAGTGTAAAGAGATTTTGAAAGTTGGCTTTGGCCATTTTATAACCTTAATAAGCAGTTCAGATTTCTTGATAATCTTGATGATAGCTTCATCAACTAGAAGTGTTATAAAAATAATCTTTTTTGTGTTATTGTTGGAAAAATTGTTTTTTTTCCTCCTTGTTTATCTGTTGTTTTTTTCAAGTTGAAAGTGCGATGCTGTTTTTTTCAAGTTGAAAGTGCGATGCTGTTTTTTTGCTTGTTTATTTGGTTATTTTTGGTTCTATATTTCTAGTATTAAAATGTCTTCTATACACCAGTATCACTACAGAAATTAATTTTGAAAAAAGGTGTAGAAAAATTAGTTGATGATATTTTAGTGAATTAGTTACATGTCTTTCTAGAGGTTAAGTATTTATTTGAAATCTATTTTAATATTAAGAATTTAGACTTTTGTACCCAAAATAAATGTTTGATATATTAACATGATTTAAGTTTTTCTGAATTGCATAATGTGCAGTCTCTCGTATTTTCAGCCCTTGTGTTCATTTTAAGTTATTATATTGATTATTTCTTTTGCAATTCATTAGCATAACAGACCCTTCCCAAAAAGAAAACTTGGGAATTATAGTGCAGTACAAGGTGAAAGTAAAGTTATGTCTAGGACCTCTTGGAGGGTAAGCTGTTTTGTAATATGTTTGAAAGTAGCTTGTTCAGAAGTTGAAAGATTACAAGATTTTGTTGAGAATAAATTTAGATAAATTGTAATTTATTTTAATAATTTCCTAATCATTATTTTACTTCATGGAAACTCTTTACTGTAGTAGCACTTATCAGTTACTAATTGAACAGATGTATGCCATACAGTTAGTACTTTGTATTAATATGAAGTAGAGGAAATGTTTCCTTTTCTAATAAAAAAAATTTATTACTGAGTGAACAACCAAAGTTTAGTCATTATAATCACAAACTGCATGTTTAACGCACTACATAGAACTTGATGAGAAATCTATTCACACTTTAAAATCAGATTGTAAATAAACTATGTCTCCTGTACATTTACATAGAAATAAATTACCTTTTTTGTTTTTGAATTTGTAAGTTAATTTAAAGCACCATAAAATTTATATTGTGTATAAAACATCTCAAGAAAATGCAAATGTAAAATGAGACAAGAAACTAGAATGCCTTATAGATTGGTAGATTTTAGTTTGTTTAATACTAATTATCTCTCATACTATAGATGTTTATATATATATATATATATATATTTTGTTGAATAAGACCGATGTCTGTAGGTTTACTTTTTTCTTGGAAATCTTCTCAAGAAGTCGATAAGCCGTTTTAACGTTGTTAGAACAACGGGCAAAAGTTGTAGATAGTGGTGAATTGGCCAATTTTTTTTTTTTACATTCTCATGGATCCCAGGAAAATATCCACATCCTCCCTTCCTCTTGGTGGGCTTGTTCATTGCTGATGTTTTTAGAAAATAGCTATATACATGTATTAATAGCCATTTAGTGGGTTTAGCTTCCTCTACACATCTTACTTATCAAGTTTTGACTCTCAGGTTGTCTTCTGTGTGGTCTGGAAAACAATCTGACCAATAGTGAGTTCCTGCTTTACATGCTATCAGTATGTCTCATTTGGAGACCTTCCTCTTTAGAGTAATTATCAAATATCAGTTCTCTGATTCTCATGATTCTTTTAGCCAGGATCGACTTTTTACCTTGTCTTCTTTTTCTGTAGTTCTGACAAATGCATATTCTACCATGTGGCTGTTGTGTTATTTTCACACCTTAGTCCTATTGTGTGTTGTTGCAATATATTCATTTCCCACTCCAACTTTTCAACTGACCTTGAAAGAGCTTCTTCCATGCGTCATTTTTCTTTGCAGGCTTTTCAACCACTCTAGTCTCCTGTTCAGGAGAAAGTGAAGCTTGCCAGAAGGAGCTGAATGGGGTTTTAGTTTTTCAACTTACTTCTAGTAGTTAATATGTTTGGGATAACCAGTATGTAATGTTTGACCTTCTGCCTTGCCTTCTTCATGTACTGAATAGGAGTAGAAGTCAGCTACTTTTACTTGTTCCTTTGGACCTTACCACATAGCCATACATGGATATAATCAAATGGGGTATTCTTGTCCCACTTGATGACTCTTTTGTTCTGGACAAATCTCTCATGTGGACTGTTAGGAAGTTTCAGATCATTGTTTCATCTATGGGATCCTTAGTGGTGGGTAGTTTATCATTTCATTTCCATTTTTTTTAACTCCATGTGTTTTATTTCGAGTAATCTAGTTTTTCTGTTCTTCTCCATTTATTTGACATTGGCTGTTACATTTACAAGGACAATTGGTTTATTTCACTCTTTTCATCCATTAAGTTTCTTACACACATATATTTAATCACCCAATTGACTATATCTCTTGGGTGAATCAGCCATAAATTCATTTCCAGTTTAGTGCCAACACTGTATTTTTTATATCTGGTTTTTACAGATCCTTAAACCTGGTCTTAATATTTTTTCCTCTTCCTTCCATTCCAGGCACTTACACATTCTAGATAAGGAAGTTTGAAATGCCCTTGAGGAATAATCCAATATTATTTATCATGCTTCTCCAAATTTGTATTCTTGTCTCTTTGTGGTTCTGAAATAACTAGGAGATTTGAGACTTGTCACAGACCTGTCTCAACTCTTGTTTTCCTGGAGACACCTCACCTTCAAATGAAAAACATGAAGTTGTTTCAGAAGCTTCTTTTTGTCCTTACAATGTTGGATATACAGTATATATTTTCATATACTACTCATCCATCATATCTTCAACATATTTTGCCATTGATGGGTGGTTTATCAGCTCATTTCTGATACAACATCTTACCACTTCTCACATAATAGCTTTCCTCAATTTGTGCTACCCTCTATATACATATTTTTGCTCACCACTAGCTTTGATGCTCCCACCTACCCTCGTGTTTACATGTGGTACAGTTGTGCTATAGCATGCAAATGAGCATGCAAACAACCCTCCACCAGTAGGAGTGTGACACACCCTCCTAGTGCAGCTGACCACCTTTATACTGTAGAGTATTATCATCACTTCTCAATTTGACACTTGTGTGTAATGATGTGTATTTTTTGTGTTTCTGAGCTTTTCAGATTTAAGCATTTTACAACGAAAGTATCTACAAAGCCATTGTTTCACAAATGTCAATAACTTCCTCTTTGTCTGGTGTGAAACAACACGAGTTTGTTCACACTGGACTACCAACTATATTGGCATTGAGTTTGTCTTTGTTTGTTGGGAGGGGTGATGGTGTCTTAAATTCAGCCTGAACCTTCTTTTGTCCCTGACATACCTCTGCCTATGTTTCTCATTTGTGACAGAATAGATTTTGCCAGTTTTTTCCTCATTGTCTTGATTCTGCCTCAGCCTTTTTTTTTCGTGATTTTATGGCTAGCTTTCTCAGGTCTGTTGTGTACATATCAAATTACTTTTACCACTAATTTGGGGCATACGTGCCTTGTCTTCCTTCCTTTGTTACCTCATATGACTAGGCAAGACTTTGTGCTGTCCTCTGTTTGTCTTATGTAGGCTTGGGTTTTCCCACCTTCTTTTTACACACACACTACTCTTTTTCCCTTGTGTAACTGTCTTTCTGTGGTAATCCAACATTCCCTTGTAAGTTTTTTGACAGATACTCATTTACTTATATTTTCTGCTGTGGCGTATTTATATTCCTCAGCATTTTCACTTCTTATTTGATTGATCTTTTGCTAGAGATGGTTGTGATTTGATGCCCTTATTACTCATTTGATTTTGGCTCCCTTATATTCCACATGCCTTCTTCTGGCTCCTTTCATCTGCCTGTATGATTTTACTGGTATGCTTGTATCTCTGGTGTCATGTGTTGGGACTGCATACCAATGTTATGCTTTACCACCACAGGTTTACTGTCTCTCAGCTCCTTCTTTGTCTCTCTCCGTCTCTTGTCCTCCTGCTTCCTTCTCTTTCTCTGTCACCACTTCCCATCTGTCATTCCACTGCTCAAGCCTTTGGGACTGTCAGTCTTGGTGGTGACTGGTAAATAGAGCCTGTTTTGTTGGGTTTATGGATCTTTGCCCTTTATATGCAGCAAATTGTTGATTATTAGGATTTCTATCAGAGAGTCTTAACCTTTGTTTTGTCATCTTCTTCTACAATATCTCCTGTTCCCATTATTTTACATCCTTCAAGGGATCTTCTTTCTTGCCAACATTGGTCCATGACAGTGTTGGTCCTAAAGGCTTCAATCATTATTGGATAGGTTTATCATCCTTTTCCATGTTTTTCTTCCTGTGTTTTCATGATTAGCAAGGGAATCTGTAGATTGGTATCGAATCTTACATGTCTCAGTCGGTTTTATGTCTTCCCTTGCTTTCCCATGGGGAATTTCTCACCTTACAATGGTCTTTCTCCCCAAGTCTTGGGGTTACCAAGGTGGACATCTTGAATGCTTCTTTTCTTGTTTGGTTCTGTTTCAATAAGCCTCCTACAGCTGCCCTCTTCTCCTCCTTTGGGAGGCAGAGCATCTGGGTTGGTTAGTTCATCTTGGAGGTGTTACACCTCACTCATACCCATTTCATTTCTCATTCATTTGGGTGTTTTTTATGTTTGTATGTCTGCAGGACCCAGCATTCTACTCTTCTTTTGAAGGACAGGGAGCAATTGGTTTCCCCTGCCATTTCTTCTCATTCTCTCACTGTGCAGATGTTCTCTCTCTTTTTTAGGAATACAGGCTTCCACAGAATCTTGTATCCCCATGGGCCATCCTCATTTGCAATGATTACAATGGACTGAACATTCTCTGGATTCTTGCTTGGGATCCCTTGTCCTCAACCATTCTCTTTCCTTGCTCAGAGACTTCACCTGATGACTTGATAAGTCTACTCCCATAGTGGGTCTTCCTCTCATCCAGGTCTCCTTCTCTTTCCAGATGCCACCTTGACAATATGGGAGACATGTTTCAACTCTCACATGAACTTGGGTTGTTGTTATCACAACATAGCATCCCTTTCAATACATCTCTTAGAACTTTTGGCAGTACATCGAATTTTGGATTTTTTAAGGATGGTTCACAGACATTTCTTGATAATACATACTGTCAACTCCGCAGTTGTCTCCTAAGTCAATCACCAGGGGAACACTTCATCTTGCTCTTCTTGTTTCTGCACTATCAACCTCCTTTTCTGGGCCTATTCTATACAAGTATATCTAATAGCTTGTTCTATTCCAGGTGCCATGAGTATTGTCATAGATCTTCTCTCAATGACTGCCAAGATATTAACTACAGATTGATCCCTCATTCCTCTGGTGTTCCAGTTGCTGTGCTCTCATCTGGACACTCTTCTTATCAATGTTTTTGCCATTCTTCTCAAAACCCTACTTCTCCATTTTCTGGTCCTTGGTTCCTCTTCACTCAGCTTGAGCTGGGGATGCATTCTGTCAGGACCGGTCCAACTTTTTTTCTCCATACTTACCCTCCTACTTTTCTTCTCCCTTTTTCTGAACACTCCATATTGAGTCCTCCTAATAATTCCTTAGTGGCCGGCTCAGCCATGATTTCCTCTATTGCAACTTTCCCCTACCTCTGTCATCCCCCTACTTCATCAGCCTCACTCCTCCTTTCCCCATCCAGATGTGTCTTCACTCTGACTTAATGTGTGGGTTTGGTCCAGTCCCTTAAAAGATGTTTCAGACTCTCTTTATGTGTAGCTTTCCTTCTTTCTTGTTTGATTCATTCTTCCACCCTTCTTGTCTATCCATTGCAAGTGTGCATATTCCATAGTTAGTCTCTGGGTCAGGTTTTCTTTCATTCCCTTCCTTTTATCCCATAATTTTTCAAATTTTTTTGGCTGTTCAAATAAGGCTAATTACTTTCAACCATGGCTCGTTGTCAGACATCTCTACCTAATATTTTCAGATTTTCTTATTATCATCATGTAATTTCCTCTCCAGTTTTTTATATGCTTATTTGTTAGTTTTGCCACATTCATCCTCCTCGTCGTGCAGTTCTTCCTGCTTTGGACCTGAATGCTGTTCGCCACACCCTTACCCTTCCTCTCTTTGACCCTTTAGTTTCTTGTACCATTTTTCACTTATGTCCTACTTATTTTTTGCCTTTGGCTGTAGGAGATACGATGGGTATGCCATTGCTGTTTTCTGTATTTTTTTCCTTTCATTTCTCAATATTCTCATTTTTTTCCCATTTTCTCAGTTCCATCCATGTGGTTCATTGTTCTTTGGCTCACTATACTCCTTTTCCATCTATTTATTCTTTGAAATTTCTCATCTCCCTGAGACATTTCACTTATTACTCTCAAGGAATGGTTACAGCACCTCATCCATTTAGCATAAGCTTCATTGAACATAGATTCACATTGACTCTTTCAAGTCTCCTCACCAACTACGACACCTTACTATCCCTGGCCCTTCAGTTCTTTCATCCCTTGGAGGTGTTCGGGCAGATTGATGGGTGGACTACCACACTTACTTTCCTTGCACATTTTCTTCATCTTCTGGCTGTTTCTTCTTCCAGATATCAACTTCCTTCTACATACCCCTTACCAGCTTTAAATGGGTAAGTTCTCTTTTTTATATATTTTACCTTGTTGAAGGTAAATGACTACAAGAAGGTGTTATTATTGTTTAACAGTGATGTAGTGGCAGAACTTCCCTTTATTTTGATGCATGCAAATCCTGAAGAGACAGAAGATGAACAATTAAGGCGACAACCTACACCAGTAAAGAGTGAAGAAGAATTTGAGGTTCCAGTTGATGACAACTTGATTCAACTTGATGTGTAAATATCCGTATTTTCAGATAGCCAATAATATCTTGAAACACACAGTAATATGGCTCCTGTAATAAATATCTGAATACGCTAGAATGATAAGACTGCTTGTGAGGTAGAAGCCTAATTATCAGTCTTTCAGATGGAATCCTTAATAACAAATATTAGCTGGTTAAAATTGTTAATTAGCAAGTTTCCACAAAGTTCTTTTTCAAATTGACAGATGATAAATAATGAAGGTTTTCATTAAAACAAAACAAAAAACATCAAATACTGTGTGTTGACTCACATATAAGTGAATTGAAACAACAACAACATTTTACAGTTCACTACCAATTAGTTATGCCTTTTAAGCAATTGGCACAGTAATTCTAAATCTCAGGTACCTTAACTACGTAATCATGATTCCAGGTTGGACCTATTCAGGTTGTGTAAACATAGATACAGATCTAAGCATATGATATGCAACTTAAGGCAATTTCTGAAACACTAAACCCACTTCAAAATAATCTGATTTCTGATGCTATATATTCACTGAAGATTGGTATTACAAACTGATCTCTAATGCTGTTTTTCCAATAACATTCTTCAACTGAAATTACTTAAAGTGCAATTATTAGACCTATGTTCCTTTAGACTAATAATAAAATAACACAAATAATGACAAAATTTATGCCAAGATTGTTAACACTTTATTACAAAAAAAAATATTTACGACATAAAACAAAACATTGTTCAAGGTATTTCTAATAAAAGGAAGTATAGGTGTCTAAACAGAAGGCTTGATTCAACTTTGTTTCAGGTCTCTTTTTTTTTTTTTAAGTACTGTAGTGCTGACTTGAATAACTAAGTCATAATATGTCAATTAAAAAATGTCAGTAAGCCCCAGGTGCTCACAGTACGTGAATTTAAACAATGAAAATTAGCTCCAGGAAATGTATTCTATTTGAAACTGATGTTTTGGCTTATTCCTTTGACTGTTTTCAATAAAAACTTTTCCTGGAGTTTATTTTCATTATTTACTTCATATACTTTCATATTAAGGGATATTTTGATCCAAAATTAAATGGTCTAACCTAATTCTTCAACAAAGTTTCAATTTACAAAACATGGTGTAAGAAATACCACAACTCAAAGATACCAAAGTATATCAGATGTTAGCAGCAGCAAGAGGCAACACAGTTTACCAGATGATCAGGGTTAACTGAAGCTTAAATTGGAAACATAGTTATTATTGATAGTGCTACTTAGGCAATATCTGAAGGATCTAGGTTAAAACACAGATGAAATAAAACTTCTTTTTTGCAGTGAACTCCATCTTTTATAATAAATTCCCATATCTATAAGTTTCACAGTTTACCAGATGTGGACTGTTAACAGGAACAGTAGATACCACAGTTTACCACTGTAACAGGTAATTGGTTTTATTTCTTTTTGCACTGGTAATCTTCCCATGTACCCAAAAACCAGACATTTTCTGATAAAAAAATTGTCTTAGCCACACAAGCTATAAAAGTAATCACTGAAAATTTTGGAAGTGTATATTTTTTATATGAATATATTTTTATCAACATACTTTAAAGTATGTAAACTGTTCTAACCAGTTGAGTAAACAGCATATTTTACTGTTATCTTAAGGGCAGGATCACACTTTTGTGAGCTTCTACAATACTTGAGACAAATAATTTTCAATGTTTTAAAAATAAAACATGACTGGTAGTTATATTCATTCCTAGTTAGAAATTAAGAACATTATGACATTTCTTTTTTTTATAATATTCAGTGTTTTTTAATAATAAAAGCATATAAGGAAGACAATGTTCAAGTAAGCACTGTTAACCACAACCAAAAATGTCATAATTATGTTGTTACTTTAGACTAAACTCCAAAGTATCAAACTTTAACATAATTATTGTAAAGTATAATACAAAGTAACATTATGTTATATATGGTCAATATAAATACCAAGTACCACAATTTAAGATGATCTCTGTAAAGTACCACACCAAGTACTACAATGTTACATGGTCACAGTAAACTGCAATGCTAAGTATTATTGTCACTGTAGTAGTCTACAATACCAAGTACCACAGTTTAACATGGCTGCTCTAAATTACAACCCAAAATAGACATTAACTGCTCATCTAATCACAACAAATAGAAATTAATGTGAGCATAGGAAGTAATTGTATATCATTATGCTAGAGCAGGTGTCAGTAACAATAACAAAACAATAAAAACTTTTAGATCTTTTAATCAGTATCATTAATGGTACCAAAATAATTTGGGGTAAGTATTTGTGATATGTTCTTCAATGTAGGCCTTTTTAACTTTTGAGTATTAATGTATATTTATAGGGAAGGTGTCAACTGCACAGATGCTCAAGATGATGATCTCATTTTTGAAGATTTTGCTAGATCTAGACTCAGAAGGGAAACTGAAACCTGAACACAAGATTTTATTCCTTTTGGAAAGACATATTCTCATTTCTATTTTTTTTATTTTTACCCCCCGAAAGAGCATTTATTTTCACATCTGTTTTACAAATAGAGGCCAAATCTAGTGAGGTATTTACATAAACTTGACCACCCACTTTGTTGTTTGTTTTACAACAAAACTGTAATTATTGGATATACAGATATGTGTTTAGATGTTGTCCCTGTTGTCTGCAAAACATACAGGAAATATTTTGTATACTTCATGATGAGCATGAATTAACCTGTTAATGGTTGCCTTGCCTCAAGACTTGGAATGTTGGACATTTGTTACAGTTTTGTATACAACTAGTTATATAGGTTAAGTTCATATTGGATGTATGTTTTAAAAAAAACAAAAAACTTTTATTTCTTATATGAACCAAAGTGCTAGTACAAACCCAGTAAGTAACAAGATCCAAGGGTTTCATTTCTCTAGTCAAGATTATTTTTTGTCCAAGATCTCAGTAAATCTAGTGGTCGTAAGTTACTAGCACAAGTTCTTATCCTGGACTAACTGCTATACATGACCATCTAATTTCAATATTATAATCGAACTGTATCTCTCTTTCTCTTCTGAGCAACATCAGTATATATATGCATTATGTCAAATCTCCATAACTGCATGTCTCTCTCTCTTCCTAACAATGTTAGCATTTTTTTTTCTTAACTTCACATACCTTTGACTTCTTTAATTAGTATGTTCACCAAACACATTTTTTTTTAAATGTTATATCTACATATACATATCTCCTACATTCTCTAGCTTCATTTTCTGCATATCATTTATTTATTTTTATTTTTTGGTATTATCATTTTATTTATCAGAGTTACTTATTGTGTAGTCACCAAAGGATTCTCAGTTAATTTTGGGGCAGGTTTTATTAAAGTTTCAGTAATGAAGACGAAAAAAAACGAAACTGAAGAAATATGGAACATTTGAAGGGATCTTTGTTGGGTTTTTGAAAAGTTGTTACTTTTCAAAACAATCTTAAACAAAGATTATTTTGGATCAGTGATTTCAAATAGAGCAAACTGATTTAGAAGGACAATTCTTAAATTATTACTATTGATAAAAACAGTTGATATTATAAATCCAATAATTGTTAGTAGGTTAGAAATAAGTATATTTATGTTGGTAATCTCAAGTAAAAATATTTCTTTGTAATAATGTGACTGGTGTTTTTCATTATATATTTAAATCAGTTTTGCTTTCTTTCATTGTTAAAAATGTGGTTTAAAGTTACTAGCTTCAAGATTGATAAGCAGCTCATATTTTTAAGTATTTTTTACAAAAAAAATACATTTCAGCTCAACTCAAGTAAAAAAACCCAAATTCCATTGAGGTTAGACAAGCAGTTTTTAGATGGTGTCAGTTTTGGTCAGCTTAGCCACATTGCTAATATATTAGCTCTGTCAGGAAGTATCTCATATCTTCAACTTAACTAGGTAAATTGAAACTGTCTTGTCACAATATGGGCTTTATTACCTGATACAAGTTGAATTGGAGCTTTGTATGGAAATGTTGTTCTTTTGAAAATGTAAAATTGAAAAAAATAGAACAGCTTTCAATAAAGAAAAAGTGTTTGCTTTTAACCATAGATCTGAAAAAGATTATGACAAAATAAGAAACTTATTTACTGTTGTTGTTTTTTTGTAAAATCTAGTATTTGTTCAGCTACACTAAAGTAAGATATCTCTGTTGAGATTTATTGTATTTTATTTAAGATTTTGTTTTCTAATGAAGCTCACAACAGTTCTTTTAAATTATAACTTAAAAAAATGTATGATATTATAAGTTTTGCATACATGTCAAGAATAAAATGAAGAAAATTAGAATTTTTAAAATTGTTACTATTCGTTATATCTTGTGCAAGTAGATCTTATAAGTGTGTGAATGACTTTTTGTATAGAAAGCCTCACAATAAACAGTTTTGATGATAAAAGGAAGATTTGTCTCGAAAAATATCTAATTGTTTACAGCATACAAAAATATTTGTAAGTCAATAATGAAAATAACATAAGACAATACCAGTATTACAAAGTGTTCTGAAGCCTGTACAATACATTTAACATTATGCCAGTGAGACCCATATGGGTACTTATTTTTCAGGTCTATCATCTAATCTTTAACTAAAAAAGTACCACAAATTATTTTAAAATTAACTAATTGTCCAACTTTGACCTAAAATTAAAAGTTCAAACTATATTACTCTGTATTTTTCTTAAACTATTTATATACATCAAATTGCTTGTAACTCTGTGATTTAGTTGGTTACAGGGTTTTTAATAATGTACAAATCACATAGCTTTTTTTAGTCGCAGCATAGTGGCTCTAGATAAGCTCTTGAGTTTTTTTTTTCAAGTACAAACTTTTAACTCATAGCTCTGTCATTTCTTGACTAATTTGAGAAATAATTACAGTTTTGGACTCAGGAGGTAAAACCCTTTCGATTGATATATTTGACCACGCCCAAGGTCTCATAGGTTAATTTACTCTAATCCGTCTAAAAGAATTTCAATTTGAGGGTAGGCTGGTAGAGATCCTGATGAGTAATAAAATCGAATCTGGTATATGCATCTCCCATGCATGGTACTGCTGGAGCACAAAAATATAGCTAATAAAAAGGAAAAAAAAGGTCTAGTAGATTGATTTACTCTAATCCTGTCTAAGACAATTTCAAGTGCCACGGCTATTGAGGATTCCCTCTTGTTTAACACAATAATCATTGGCATTGCAATTAATCCCACTGATTACTGCTGGAACTTCTATTGTATTTTCCTCCTCAATAGCACAATAGTAAGTCTGGTGGCTTATAATGCTAAAAACTGGGTTTCATTACCCTTGGTGGGCACAGCACAGATAACTCATTGTGTAGCTTTGCATTTAACAACAAACAAACCATTGTATTTTATATGGAAAAACGAGTAGTTTTACTCCATTTGTATATATAAGTGGGTGTTTATTTCATTAATGTCGTTAAAATATAGTAAAGCTTGACTTGATGTTTTAACACATAACACAGATAACTCATTGTGCAGCTTTCTGCTAAAACAAAGAAATTTAATGATATACATTTATTTATCACTAATAACGGTCTCACAGTGAAACAAATAAAGAAACAAAAGGTAGATATTTTGATGAATCAGGTGAGTTTAATGTAATAGAACCTATTATTTGTCCCATAACAAAATTTATAAAATAAATTACAATCCTGTTAAAACTAGGGACAGGGCCGTTTTAAGAATATTTGAGGCCCCCGGGCAAAGCAATGTACTACCCCCCCCCAGCACATTAAAATTAAGTTTTTCAACTGGAAGATTTGCGGCATTTCATTGCAGAAATTTGCTTTATAATTGGTTGAAAGTCTATGTTTTTGAGGATGTCGCTTTCAGTGCACATGAGGGAAAGCAGATTCAACCACTGCTGTCCCATTGTGCTGCGTAGATGATTCTTTGTAAGTTTCAACCTGGAAAATGATCGCTCCCCGGAACAGGTGGTCACCATCATGCACATAAATATTCTGAGTGCGATTTCAACATTGGGAAACACAGATTTCAACTTATCTGGAATGAGTATGCTGTACATGTCTGGAAGAGTCTTGCATTCTTCATCGTGGACAATGTAGTGCTTGAATTGCTTGCATTCATTGAGTAATTCATTGTACTCAAAATCTTCATGATAAGCATTAGCCAATTTTTCACACCTTTGACTAAGCTCATTACAGGCAATTGTTTTTAACTGACTGAAGAAGGAAAACAGATTTCCAATACTTTCGTAGGCTTTTGCACATTTAGTCAGGTGAGAGTTCAGAGACTCCAGAATAGGAAAGTATGTTTCCACCTTGAATTTTTCACTCTCTGTTCTGCTGACCCATCATATCTGGTAAGACGCACACCTCGCTTTCTTGCACGTTTGTCTCCATCGCCATATTTCGAATCTGGACACCTGCTTTTACCTTCGCTTCATACTCACTGAATTTGTCTCTCATTTCCCGAAGATAGGCTTTCAGAGACTTGAGGAGCTCAATGGCAACAAATATGTCCACATCTTTTGACTGCAAAATTTTACTTGTTTTGTTCACTCTTTCCAGAATGTCATTCAAAACAATTGTCAAAAAGATAGTCTCTAGCTTCTCCATTTTCTTGCTCAATCCTTCTGTCTCGCGTCTTGTGTTCCACTTGTGATCAGCGTCAACTGCAAGGGCATCCAATGCATCTTGAATTTTCTCGAAACCTCCATGAAGAGCAGTGACAGCATCGAAATGTGCTGACCATCTCGTGTCAGAGAGACACTTGCCCACAATATGATTCTTTCCCAAGGATGACGTCAAACATTCCAGCGATGTATGGAAGCCGAGAAAAAGGAATACAAACGCTGGACAAAGTCAAAGAAGGAGATGATCTGTGGACCACACTGCCGCTTTTACTCCCACCAAGTTTAGACTGTGTCCAGTACAAGGAATATAGATAGCAAATTCATTTAGTTCACGAATCCGTGCTTGCAATCCAGTGTAGCATCCTGACATATTTGAGGCATTGTCATAAGACTGACCACGGCAGTTTGATAACGGAATGTTGTTCTTTTGCAGGAACTCTACAATCGTGTCTGCTAAATTCTTCGCCCCGTGAGAAAAGATGGGGATGAATTTGAGGAAATGTTCCACCGGCTCACTTCCATGAATATACCGGACAGTAAATAAGCGAGTTGTCCGGAGTAAAATCGACACTTATTGAATAATACTTTGATTTCTTCCAGAATTGCACAAAATACCTGTTGTCCCATTATTTCAATAAATTCTTCACAAATGTTTGCCGATAGATATGATGGGTTCCACTTTCCAGTATTTCTGTACACTTTTAAATGTTCTTCCTAAAAAGGGTAAAACTCACTCAATAGTTCTAGAATGCCAAGAAAGTTTCCTTTTTTTTAGGAGCCAATAGTTTGATTCTCCCCAAGAAATGCCAAACATCTGGAGGCAAGAAAGTAGATAACAGAAACCACACGCTTTAACACTTTAAGCCAGTACTCTCTTTGTGAACGATGCTGACTTAGCAATGCAGAATCCACACAATCACTTTCTTTGTGCCGAATCGAATATTCCAATACGCACCCGCGATGTTCTTCTCCATTTTCGTGCTTTACAACGACATTGCTGTGTTTCCAATCATTGAATCCTGATGTAGCGAAAGGAGATTCTTTTTCGGACAATAGACCACATTGAAAGCAATACAAACAACCTTTGGATGGTGAATATAGCAGCCATTCGCGTTTTATAAACTCGCCATTCTGCAGTTCACGTTTGAATAATTTGTTTGTTAAATATCTTGTCTGTGTTTTTCTCCTTCACCATATACACGGCGGAAGTTCGAAAAGTTGTAATCGTGATTTTGACATTTTGTCGGCCCATTGAGAATCCAGTGGTCTACTGTAGCAGTATATTTCGTGTTCCATAGTCTTGGATCTATCAGAGCGTGATCGTAAATCACATTCACATTCTCGGTTACCGTTGCGGATTCGTGTATTTCTTCTAGTAGTTCAGTAGGAGAAGGAGCTCATGTATCTGGAACTGGGGGATAAGATGAAGAAGTGCTTGCAGGAGTGGAAGTAAGTGTTGATGCTGTATTCAGATCAGGAGCAGTAGCTTTTGCAGCAGGGGTGAACCAAGCCGATAACATTGGAAGTTTGCTTAGTTTTCCTTTTTCCTCTGCAGTTCTTTTCATCTTCTGTGCTCCACTAGCATATGTACGCTTCATTTCTGTTAACAAAAGATGCAAAATTATAATTTACAAAAATTAGAAATGTACATCTTGAAAACGACATGATTTTCGTGACGACCTAATGGATGTATATGTTTTATATAATTAATCATTCTATCTCCTCTAGTGTCTGGTTATTTTTTCATGTAAGTTTTTGAATAGTAAGGTTGATTTGCATGCTCGTTCAATCGACCCAGTTACTTTACAACGAACGGGACTAATGTGATACGCAAATGACTCAGGTGAGGACAGTAATTTAAAAAACAAATGCACAGTAACAGCACTGCATTTAGGTGTGGTCATGCATATCCACCTTTACCATGAATTCAAAGAAGGGTACAGCCAGCAATTTTCTTTGGGGTCGCCAATTCCTTGAGGGTTCCTGGTTTGGGGAAAAATATAAGTGAGGAAACATATATATGTTGCCTTGGCTACACCGCGCATGCGTTCAACAAATTGCGTCCCTGGTGGAGTCCAGGGGCAAAGCCCTGTTATGGGACCAGGAAGCTCCTCAAATGTTACGAATTGAAAGCCAAAAACTTGCCAAAAATTGACCCATTATGTCCTGAGCTTTAACTCGGGCCTATACCGAATATTATATGATTTACAAATTATGTTTTTAAAAATATTTGTGTACAGAAGTCTTAATGACAACTGTACCTTATTTTAAAGCTTATAACTTAAGCTTTCTATAAATATCAATTTCATGCTAAGTTGCATGATATTTGTATGTAAATTAGGTGATTTTTTGAGAGTGGTGTTTTTTTTTTTCATGAAAAATTGTTTTTTTTGGCTCGAAAAAGTTGAATGAAATTCACTCTTCGGGCCTAACATGATGTGGCATGAACATTTATTCACTTATTTAGTAGTTATGTGGTGTAATTTGAGCATATTTTGAACATTTTTGATCAACAAAACCGTAAATGACTCAGTGTGTAAACAACTGGGTAAGCCTAAGCTCCATTTACTGTACAAACATATTGTTACGACAGCGGGGGTTACGTGACGCTAGTAACACGTCATATTCTCGAAGGTTCGTGAATGCTCGAGCGTTTACTAGATTTCGGTATTCTTGTATATATAAGACCGGT